AGGCAGAATGTCTTCCTAAGCATCAGTCAGAGCTGGATGGAAAACTGAAAAACAACCCAAAACAAAGTCACTGAGTCAAGGAACATATCAATTTAATAAGTAAGTAATACATAAAACCCAGAAGAAGGAAAACCACTTTTGTTTCCAAAGTCAACTCAACCTTCCTATCCTAAAAAGATCCCGCAGAGTGGGTTGGTATTCTGTAAAATTTAGCAAAACCACTGGACAAAGTCAAAAGATCAGAACACTACAACATTGTGAATTCTTCGCCTGTTAGCAGAACTCAGGACAATCCCAATCCACATTTCCATGAACAAGAGGTGCCCTCTGTCACATATTAGTACTACTTTATAAAGCCTATTATAATATATTAGTAGCACTTTATAAAAGTAAGGCCACACCTGGAAGAAAGCATCCAGTTATGGTCACATTATATTAAAAAAAGATGTTGAGACTTTGGAAAAAGTGCAGAGAAGAGCAACTGAGATGATTAAAGGCCTGGAGATTAAAATTTACGAAGAACGGTTGCAGGATTTGGGTTTCGCTAGTCTAGAGAAAAGACTAGGAGTGACATGATAACAGAATTCCAATATTTGAGGGGCTGCCACAACAAGGATGAGGTTAACTTAGTTTCCAAAGCACCCAGAAGGCAAGATGAGAAACAATGGATGGAAACTAACCAAGGAGAGAAGCAACCTGGAATTAAGGAAACATTTCCTAACAGTGTGGACAATTAACCAGTAGAACAGCTTGCCACTAGAAATCGTGGACACTCCATCACTGGATGTTTTTAAGAAGAGTCTGGACAGTCACTTATCTGAAAGTATAGATTCTCCTGCTTGAGCATGGGGCTGGACTAGAAGACCTCCAAGGTCCCTTCCAGCTCTATTCTGATAGACTGATGAAGGCAGATAACCCCAGCTCCTCCCTTGTTGGATATGTAGAGTTTACACCTTTAGAGAGAACTTGATAAGCTGGAGGACAGAGGCGGGAACAAACGTTAAATATTGGGTCTATATATCTCCAAACAGCTTCTGTTATACAGTTGGAAGTTGAAGCAATTGAAGGAAGTCCGAATCATTGAAAAAACTGATTTAGGAGTAATCAATTTTCGATACAAACAAGTTAAGATTTAGTCAGGAAGTTGTGTGAGATTTGTTTGGTTTTGGTGTGGATCTGTTTTTAGAGTTGTGTGTGTGTATGTGTGTGTGTGTGTGGGGGGGGGTAGATAGACAGACAGATAGACAGATAGATAAGGAATCAAGTTTATCTTTTCCTTTTACACTTTCTTCAAACTAAAGACATTAATTACTTTTACTTAAGACTCTCTCCTATACCCTGGAATCATTCTCTCTCTCTTCTAAAATCATGCAGAACCTCATAATTATGCCATATTACTTTAATCCTGCAGTCTGCTTGGAGAATTACAATTTCTCTTGCCTATTTTTTAAACCAAGTAGCATTTATTCTCCTCTAGTACTGAATGTGACATTTAAAGTGAGAAATAATTTTTTATAATACCTTTTCCTAATAGCCTGATTTTGCTTATCTCCTGTAAGATTGGCGGGCTGTGGAAGCACCAACCCAGGGTTATCTCAAACTTACAAACTTAAGATGAGTGCACTTCAATTCCCAGAATTTTCCATCTCCTAAACCTTCTGAACTTATTTGCTTTATAAAACATTTTTGACGATGCCAGCGTGATATTATTAGGAGATAGATGGTGACAGTAGGGACAACCCAATTACTATCCCAAAGCAAACAGGATGGGACATTTCAAGAGAAGACTTGTAATCCCTGTGTCCTCTATTCTACAGGGACATCTGTCCCACTACACAACCCTTCAAAACATTGGCATAACATGTCCAAAAGGAGCTTCCTCCCCCCACTTTGAAAGAGTTTTGCTTCCCATCCAAAGTTTCTTCAGTTCTAACCGAGTTAATTAAATTAGGACTTAAGAAGCTTCTCGGATGAGCAGTGAAACATTTTCAAAGGAAAACAAAACAAAACAAAACAAGAAAGTTTGGTTGACTTTTGGAAAAAGCACCTTTGGGCGACAAACTACGACCTGGATGATTGACAAGCCCCATAGACATCTGCGTAACATCATTGAGAGTCAACGCAATCCCCTCCATCCTTCAGTTTTGACTCTCATGCGTGGGTGCCCAAGAGAGAAGCAGACGCAGTGATCAGCACTAAGCAGAAAGTAGGGCAGATCCAGTTTGGTGCAGTGGGGGCCATCAGGACAGAAATCAGCTAAGATCCCAGAGATCTAATCTTGCCCTACCTGGGTGACCTGAGTGACCTTGTATCAGTTTCTCTCCGAAGGCAGCCAGGGCAAATATATATTTATTTACCTACAAAGTACTTACTTTATTTACTTACTTATTTGTTTTAGAAAAAGGTATATTGCTGGCTTTTCGCCCATAGTGACCCAAGGCGGCTTCCACAAATATAAAAGCATCATAACAAAAATAATAAAAGAAAATATTAAACAATAATAAAATAGCAGCCAGCCCCCCCAACCCGGGCGACAACACATATTCATACAACCCATTTTAATGGGCTCCACTCCATCCCCTTCTGGCTTCCCCTCACCTCTCCAAAAACGCCCCTCAAAACCTGGCCAAGAAAACCACGCAAGGACCGGTTGTTCCACCCGTGGGGCTGGCTCCAAGGCGCGCGCACCCCCCACGTTATGCAAGGCAAGCACTTGGACCCCTAACCGGTTCCGGAGCCCCGTTTGCAGGGCCGAGGGGTGACCCCCTGGTCCCCTAAAAGGGGTCGCCTTTTGGAGGGATGCGGGAAAGGCGTCATCAGCCTCTCCAACCTCCACCTATAAGACCGTGGGTTATGCGCCACGGCCATGCGCCAAGGTCGAGCAAGTCTTGGGAAGGTGCCCGGCTGGGAAGACGCGTGTCCTCGGGCCGGGGGAGGTTCCCAGCCCGGTCCGCTTTGGCTGGGGATGATGGTGGGGAAGGGGAAGAATCCGGGCGTCCGGGCCAAGGACAGGCAACCCGGCCGAGACGCACCTCTCGGAAGCCTCTTGGAGCGTTGCCGCCGCCGCCATCTCCACCGCCTCCCGTGGGAAGGTCCGCCCGGCCCCCGCGAAGCCCCGGCGCGGCTTGTGCCGGCTCAGCGTCCCCCGCAGGGCATCCCCGCGCGGGGGGGAGAGAGAGAAGGAGAGAAGCGCCGCAGAAGGAGCGCGCAAAGCCCGGATGAGCCCGGCGAGGCCGCTCGCCTTGCGCAATCCGCGCGCTCTCGCCGGCGCCACCCCAGCTTCTCCGGCTTCCGGGCCCGCCTAGAGACGCGGCAAGTTGCCGCCGCCGTTGGGCCGGCTCGAGCCTTCTGCAAGCGGGCGCCCGCCGGAAAGGCGGCTGCTGGAGAGGGTGTGTGTGTCTTGGTAGTCCAGAGGAGGGAAGGTGGGGGGCGCGCACAAGCCTAAGAGCCCAGCGCCCTGGCCAAAGGCGGGACTCCATCTCCCATCATCCTCTCCGCTGCTGTGGGGTGGGGGATGACGAAGTTTGGAGTTGGACTGCAGCTTCCATCATCCTCTCCGCTGCCTTGGGATGGGGATGATGAGGTTTGGAGTTGGACTGCATCTTCCATCATCCACTCAGCTGCTGTGGGATGGAGGATAATGAGGTTTGGAGTTGGATTGCATCTTCCATCATCCTTTCTGCTGCTGTGGGATGGGGATGATGAGGTTTGGAGTTTGACTGCAGCTTCCATCATCCTTTCCACTGCTGTGGGATGTGGATGATGAGGTTTGGAGTTTGACTGCAGCTTCCATCATCCTCTCTGCTGCCGTGACAGGGAAGATGAGGTCTGGAGTTGGACTGCATCATCCATCATTCCAGTATTTAAAGGTTAGGGTTCAGAAGAAGAGAAAACTAAGATGACCAAAGGCCTGGAGACTGAAACATGAAGAACGGCTGCAGGATTTGGGTTTGGCTAGTCTAAAGAAAAGAAGAATTGGGGAGACATGATAGCAGAATTTCAGTATTTGAGGGGCTGCCACAAAGAAGAGGGGTCAAATTATTCTCCAAAGCGCTGGATGGCAGGACAAGAAACAATGGATGGAAACTAACCAAGGAGAGAACCAACCTGGAATAAAAACAAGGACAAATATGGCTGAAGAACAGCTTCTATCCCAGGGCAGTAACTCTATTGAATTCCACTGTATAGTGCAATATGAATGCAATATCAGGGGTTTTCAATTCAATTGCATAGAGTATGAAGGATGTGTGTTTGTGTTTATTTTCATAGCCATTATGTACACTCAAGCCATTATGTACACTCATGTGCAATGACAATAAACTAAACTAAATTAAATTTAGGAGAAACTTCCTAACAGGGAGGACAATTAACCAAGGCACCTGAAGGCCAGACAAGGAATAATAGATGGAAACTGAACAAGGAGAGAGATTCAACCTGGAAATGAGGAATTTTCTGGCAGTGAGAACAAGCAACCAATGGAACAGAAGTTGCCTTCAGAAGTGGGAGCTTCATCACTGGAAGCTTTCAAGAAAGGACTGGACTGCCATCTGCCAGAAATGGTGTAGGGTCTCCTGCTTGGGTGGAGCGGGTTGGGCTAGATGACCTCCAAGGTCCCTTCTCAGTCTATTATTCTGTTGAATGTCCTGTCTTTCCTCCAGCCTCTCGATCCCATTGCCTGGCGAGTCCAACCCATTTCTTCCCTCCGCTGGGCAAAGCCCAAAGCCAAAAAATAAAAAATACAGCGCTGCCCCTTTAAGAACGGACCATGACATCATTTCCCACCTAACCCCACACATCCCCGCCCTCTGCCTTTCGGCGTTCGCTCCACCGAACTTGAACAACGGAAGACCCGCCTCCCACGGCGCAGGGAAGCCAATCGCTGACGGACTGCCCAGCGGAAACGCCTCCCGTTCGCGGGAGGACGGTGTCGCCGCTGCCGATTGGACGAGATGCTTGGCCATCTACCTTTGTCCCCCCCTCCCCCCTCCTTTCCCAGCAGCCGGGTTAGGGTGCGCGAGGTTGGGTGGTGGTTCCCGGGGCCCGGCGGCTGAGCTCCAGCGGGTGAGGCAGGCGGGCGGTCCGGAGTCATCGCTCGGCCAGGCCCAGCGGCCCCGGCCATGGAATCCTACGATATCATCGCCAACCAGCCCGTCGTCATTGACAACGTAAGCCTGCAAGGCCGGACGAGCAGCCGAGGCGGGCGGGCGGGGGGGAAAGAGAGAGCCGCGCCCGGCGAGGCTGCAGCAACGGCGGCGGATGAGGTCCCGGAGCTGGGTGGGGCCTTGGCCTTCGCCCCAGCCCCGCCTCGGATCTGTAGATACGATAGATTTCTGCCAGGCTTTTGCCTAGAAGGGCCCTCGGGGGGGGACGACTAGGGGGGGCAACGTTAAGCCAGGATGCGGAACCCCTAAACCTGGTTTGGTTTGGGCCCAGCGGGTCGTGTGGACCCCCGGGATAAGGAGGGATGCGGGTCCGGCATAGGCGGGGGGGATGAAGAGGGAGGCCGGCCGCTCTGGACGCTGGGATTACTCAGCGGAATCGGGTAGCTTGTGCCTTGAATAAAAAACTATTATTATTATTGCTATTATTATTGTTATTGTTATTACTCATTTCTTTTATTTATTCAACATGAAACTCAGTCAACTGAACATTTAAAAATGTATCACCATTGTCATTGACTGGTGCTGATGGTTGATATGGATTGCTGGCAGCATCCAAGGGATCAACCAAGTATATTATTAGTATTCGTATTATAAGTGTTTATTATTAGTATTATTAAATGTTAAGTAATAATAATGCACAATATTATTCTTATTATGCCAGCCAGATGTTCAGACTGGGGTTTGGCGTTTTGTCTACCTATCAAATCCTTACCAAGGACCTGGGATAGGCAAATCTGGATGTTTGATGATTATGATTATGATGATTATGATTATGATTATGATTATTACTATTATTATTACTATTATTACTATTATTATTATTATTATTATTATATCTTTAGTGAGATTCCCTTTGGGGCTGGTTGGTAGCTCAACAGCTTGAATCCTAACCAAGGACCTAGGAACTGTTCAGGTAGCGTCGGAGGACATAAGCTGTTCCAAGTAGGGTGGTTTTTTTTGTAGAATCAGGGTATTCAAGTCTGATAAATTCAGGATTTCCAAATAGCGAGGCAGCCCTTTAGGTATTCCTCCAAGGGCTCCAATTACAATAACACACGATTTCTTTTTCCAAAGTCACTTAACTTCAATTTGTAAGTCCCGATACTTGGTGATTTTTTTCTTGCTGAATACATTATTATTATTATTATTATTATTATTATTATTATTATTATTATTAT